TTTATTATTATTATTTTTATAAAATTAATAATTTTAATAATAAAAAATAAAAAAATATTTTAAAAAATACACTTATTTTTTTAACATGTTTTTATTAGTTATTTAATATTAAATAACAACTGCTAACTATTATATGATCAAACAGTTATATTTATCGAATCTACTATTTACCATCCGCTGCTCACTTTTCACCATCTAACATTTACGAATCACCACACATTACCGACTACTATTATCTACTATTTACTACTTACTATCCGTTATTTATTGAATTTTAACCCCCGCAACCAGCAAACATCAGAGCCATAAGATAGTGGTCCTGCCTGGCTCCACATATAATAATATCAGGGACGGAGCCAATGAGGGACGAGGGGGGAGGGGGGAGGGGGCGCAGCCGCCCCCTTAAACTTTTGAAAAATATTTAATATGGTACTCTAACTTTTATTAGTTAAAAATTTTGTCTAATTTATTTTATACGAAATATACAATTTTTAACCATTTATAATTAAAAAACTGAATTCTTACTATTAGAAATTTGCTCCCCTAGATGATAGTTAAACAATGCACTTACTATATATATATATCACCTAATCTCTATTAAAAAAAATTAACAAGTTCGTATCTACTCATCCCTAGTGGTGAATTAGTGGCAGTAAACTAAAGAGAAAAAAAAGTATAAATAAGGAAATTAACTTAATATTTTTTATTTAAAAATATTAATTTTGTTAATTTTTAAATAAGAATGTTAATTTTTTTTTTAAGATACTAACTTTTAATTTTTTTTTAAGATACTAACTTTTAATTTTTTTTATTTACAGATGTCAATTTTCAACATTTAAATATGTTTACCACGTTACTATTATCATCTAATTAATCTTTAAATAGAAAACTTAAAAGTTGATATTTTTAAATAATAAAAATTGAAAGTTAACATTATCAAATAAAAAAAATTAAAAATTAATACTTTTTTTTAAAAAATAATAAGGTTAATATCCTTAAATAAAAAAATATAAAGTTAATATCCTTATTTATACATTTGTTATAAACTAGACAGCCAAGAACAACTTTAACAGGCATTGATGTTGAAGGAACGTAGCTTTGGTCTCTTTTCATTAACTGGCTATATATGGTGTGAGGATGAGCTACCATTCCTGCAGACCATCAAATTGATCAACCATCTTCCTATTTGCCTGAACTATGGCCAAATTATCTGCAGTTTTTTCCGTCAAACGTCAGGAACCAGAGCTTGTCCCACCGGCCAAACCAACACCACGAGAATCAAAATATTTATCAGATATCGATGATCAAGATCGTCTCAGGTTTCAGTTTCCGTTCATTATGTTTTATCCCGACCATCCCTCGTTGCAAGGGAAAGACCCTGCCATAGTTATCAAAGATGCACTGAGTAAAGCTCTGGTGCATTACTACCCTTTCGCTGGCTACCCTTTCGCTGGTAGGCTCAGAGAAGGGCCTAACCGGAAACTTGTGGTAGATTGTACCGGCGAAGGTGTCCTGTTCATTGAAGCTGATGCTGATATCAGACTTGACCAGCTCGGTGACACAATTCGGCCGCCTTTTCCATGCTGTGAAGACCTGCTGTTTGATGTTCCTGGCTCTTCCAATGCTCTGGGCTGCCCTTTACTACTGATCCAGGTATATAATAACTCTAAATTTATAGTGGTAAAGATCGACATAGACCTTGAAATCTCTAAGTTCCAGCCATCAAGAGTGCACTTATGCTAGTTATTTTTCCAATTTTTTCTACTATTGTTGTTTTACTTTATAGGTGACGCGCTTGAAGTGTGGGGGATTCATCTTCGCAGTACGCTTAAACCATGTCATGGCTGACTCACTAGGGCTAGTCCAGTTTCTCAACTCCGTTGCAGAGATTGCCAAAAGAGCAGATAAACCCTCAGTGCTACCCGTCTGGAAGAGGGAGATCTTTACCTCCCGAGACCCACCGCAGGTGACTTGCCAACATGACACATACAACAAATTAACCCACACCACTGGAACAAAAGTAAACAACATGGATTCCGATAATAATCTTGTTCAAAAATGTTTCTTTTTCTCCCAAAAAGATATAAGGTCAATCCGTAGTCATCTCCCACCACACCTCAGCACCAGCTCAACCTTCGAAGTACTCACCGCGTGTATCTGGAGAAGCCGCACGGTGGCTCTAGACCACAACCCCGATGAGATTGTTAGTGTTTCATGCCCTGTCACCGCGCGCGGCAAGCAAGGCATGCAAGTCCCTCATGGTTTCTACGGAAATGCATTTGCCTACATAGCCGCGGTGTCAAGCGCCAAACTTCTGTGCGAGAATCCTCTAGGGTATGCGCTAGAGTTAGTAAAGAGGACGAAGACCCGGATGAGTGAAGAGTACATGAAATCGCTCGCAGACCTTATGGTGATCAAGGGAAGGCCTAAATGGGACACGACAGCTCGGAGCTTGTTGGTGGCTGATACGACCAAGGTGGGGTTTGAAAAGGTGGATTTTGGATGGGGAGAAGCCGTTTACGGTGGTCCGATTGGGTCTATAGACTTTACTGTCTACTATGCAAATGCAAGATGTAGAAACAGTAAAGGGGAGAGAGGA